CTTCCTGAAGGCCCTCAGCACTGATGATTCAAGGGAATTCAGACTGTACATGTCGTGAACTCATCTAGAATATATCAGCATGCTGGTTAACTGTTCATATGTCAGCATGCATGTATAGCTACTAAAAGGGGGGGGGGGAAGACAGTAGTCCAGCGCACAAAACAATTCCATTGAATCCTAAAATATCCTAAAAGGGCATCAATTCCAACACTTTACCGGTTTGCAGTACCTAAGAAATGTGCTGGTGTGCTGGTTCTTTAGACTTGGTAACAAGTGACATATCTTTTCTGAACTGAAGATCTCAAAGTGATCTTAAACGGCTTGTTTGTCGAAGGTGACATACCACGCATTTCCGATTTAGTCATCCCGTGGAGTAAAATGATGCACAGTTCACATAATGTAAATCTTGCATTAGCTATGTGAGAACTCTCAATTTTGTGTAATTGATAAATGAACAACTTAAGGAATTTTGGAAGCGTAAAGATAACTGATAAAGGAATCTTTATATTTACCATTATCCTTAGCATCAACTTTTGCAGCTACAGTGTACACTTTTCCGGGAACAGCCCAATCAACAGCCACAGGTCTCTTTGCAACAACTTTGCATTAATATTTTTATAGCCTGATTTAGAAAAACAAATCATGGCCCATTAGGAATTTAAATGGATTTGTGTACTCCAACTGAATAGAGTACTGACCATGCATTTTCTGCATCCTGCTACCGCGTGAAAGATACAAAAGCAAAGCCATCTGATATATTGTTAAAGAGTAGATGTAATCAAAAGCTGTAATATCTTGCAAGTTTTATTAATCCACTTAAGGAACAAAGGATTCATTGGAACAGTGACATACCCCTCACCAGACTTATGTGGAATCGACATATCCATACAAACCCTGCTGAACTAAACATATCCACAATATCGTTCTCTGTAACCAGCAATTCACACACACAATTGGCTTATCTGCCCTAGAGAAAGAAAAAGGAATTGGAACAGTGACCACTTAACCAAGCACCTTTGGCATGTACCTCGCTCTCCATTTTCTGATCTTTGAAACCTAAATAGAAAGGAAATAACTTCCAGCCACTTGCAACCAAATGAGCAAAGGAGAGTTCTAATTCTACAAATAGCCAAACATGTATCTCGTGAGCAAAAAAAAAAAAAGGAAACAGAAACCAATAAACAATTAGAATTAGAACTTTCTGTTAATCTTATCTTATACCAATGAATCAGAACCCAGGGAGAATCGGCAGCTACGAGCTCACCTCCCACGTGAGCAAGGTGTCCTGGTTGGTGCTCTTCCACCTCTACCGTGTGTAGACTCAGGCCACTGCGCTCACACCGTTGCTGCACATCCTCGCTGAGATCATGGTCATTCACACCGTTGCCGTCAAAAAAACCGCATGGGTAAAAAAACACTCGCCTGCTGAGGAGATGGATTGGAGAGGCTTCACCGCACTGCCGCATCCTTCATCCCATCCTCGTCGGGCTGGACGCATCGCCGCACCACCGGCTCCTTCGTCCTGCCCTCATCCGGCTGCTCGCGCGCCACGCCATCCACTCCTTCGTCCCGTCCTCATCAGACTGCCCGCAGCGCCACGCCGTCGCCTACTTGGTCCTGCCCTCGTTGAGCTGCCAGTGAAGCCACGCCACCGCCTCCTTCGTCCCGCCCTTGTTGCGCTGGTCGAGGCCCGCGTCGCCGCCTCGATCCCGCAGAGCCATGCCGCCGCCTCCTCTTTTAGTTTTTTTTTTCCAGAGGCGTAGGAACGGAGGCGATTTGGGGACGACGGCGTCCCAGGGCGGCTGTAGATCATGGTCGTGAGCACGACGGCATCCCAGGGCGGCACATGCGCCGGGTCATGCGCAGACAGCCGCACCCGGCACCATGCCTTCCACAGCGTTGCCGCCGCCTCCTCCGCTGTGCGTGCCCTCCCTCAGTCGCGGGCGCGAGTCCATCACCTCCGGCGCCTCCCTTGCTGCATAGGGTTTCACGGTGTCGGCGCCAGAGTCGCGTTTTTTTCGTGGAAGCACGATTCGATCGCTGGTTGCTGCGCGTTTGAAGCCTGCGTTGAAGCCTGAAACGATCCTGGCAGGATTGATTTGAAGCCTGTGAGGGGTATTTTTTAGCCCTTGATTTTAATCAAGACGATTTGCTAGGTGTATTTTTTTTTTGTGCATAATGGTTAGACTCTCTTAGCGGGGGACGCAATCTTAGATATACCTAGTATAGTTTGGATTGGTTCATTATAGTAGAGATTCACAAATTTTCCTCATTATTAGTCAACAAATAACTGCTGGAATAAAACTAAGCCGCAACTAATAAATGAATTAATTATTTACGTAACATAATCCCCTTTTTACTTGATGCAACAATTGACAATTTTGTTGCTACTTCAACCAAGAATCCCCAAATTTCCTAAACCGATTTCTATCCTAAAGTTTGACCCGACAGGCTGAGTGTGACAAAGCACATGTGCCTGGCATATTAATTTGTTGGCATCATTTTTTGCAGGCTTTGGCTTATTAACAATATCTTTTTTTTTGGCTTGACATGCTTGATTTAAATATTTTTGAAAGACAACATATACATGGGCCTGATAATTGTGAATAGAAATACTTCTTTTCGTCTCGTGGATATCACAGATGGTGTTGAAATACCGAGGAAAAATATTTCTCATTGCCCTATAAAAACATGTAACTAAAACAAGTGCTACCTGTGTCCGTAAATATAAGAGGTCTTAGCATTTGAATTTTTTCCACAAATATAATATATTCTCTGTAATCCAAAAGAAACTGCAATTAATCCTTATCTAAAAATATAAGACTTCTTACTATTGGATTAAGTCCATTTTGGGCCCCTCATGTTTCCCTTTATTAGTCTCATTCTAACCCCCAAATTTGGTACCTTGAATATGAAAACCATTTCATTTTGACCCCAAAGCCAACTCAAAGCACTCAAAACTTCCTCGGGGGACAAAATCAATGTGTTTTTATAGTTGATGTGCTAAAGTTCGACACAAAGACAAGAGTCAAGGGGCCAAAATGGACTTAGTCAAATACTTTAGGTTTTTGGATATTTAAGAAAATTTTATATATTTAAATTTACTTATAGATAAATATTTATCTACACATTTTTTTTGGATTTTTATATATTGGATTTTTAATACGAATCCTAATTTATTTAAAATACAATCTAAAACTTTAACCGATTAATGTCCAAGTTTTCGTAGTGTCCTAAAATTTGTATCACTACTGCAGATCTGGCATTCACTGCTAGCTCCATCGCTGTCGGTTTTTAAGAAACCGACAGTGATAGTGCCTCCCGACACATCACTGCCGGTAACGTGTAATCTAGAGTGCTTGTAACGTATTGACGTATCCAGCTATTATCTAACATAATTCTTCTTTTGTTGCAAAAAAACTCTCTCATATGATGTCCGATGAAGACGAAATTTATATCAAAATTGTAGAACACGACGAGATCTATAACTTTATAGTTCAAACTTTTTTGACATGAGATCGTTTGGATGCCGAAATATACACCACAAGATTTTGTATAGTAAATTTCAAAGGAGTCCATATGCTCCATAGTTATCGGTGAGTGTGGAGTTGTAGTCAAAACAAAGGTTGTAGATCTCAAAAAGTTATACAGCTTTGTAGTTCACAACTTTTTTGTTTGAAGTCGTTACGATGTTCCTCTATTTGACTCACAAGATTTCAGAGAAGTTAACACCAACTAAAGTCATATGTTACATGTCATAAGTGAGTGTGTAGTAATATTTAAGAATTTTGAATGGAGAAGCGGCTAAAACAAAAGTTGTATGTCTTAAAAAGTTATGCAAATTTGTAGTCGACAATATTTTCATTTAAAACCACTATCTAAAGAAAATTACGTTTGATTTCTCAAATTTAAAATTTTAATTTTTCAAATGATCTCGGATGGAGAAACAGCCAAAACAAAAGTTGTAGATCTCGAAAAGTTATACAACTTTGTAGTTTACAACTTTTTAATTTGAAATCATCTATCCAGAGAAAATTACGGTTCAATTTTCTCACAATTGAAATTTAAATTCTTCAAATGACCTCGGATGGAGAAATGACTAAAAGCATAGTTGTAGATCCCTAAAAAGTTATAAAACTTTGTAGTTGACAACTTTTTGATTGGAAATCATTTAGGATCCCAAATAGTCATTTCAAAACCAGATTGATATAAAAATCGCGTGACTTGTGACCGCGTGGCTGTTCGGTGGGGTATCTCCCAGTATTAAAAAAAATCCCTATTTTTGCAGCCTGTTTTTGAGGTTTTCTAAGAACCGACACTGATGTGAACCCTCCGTCACTGCCGGTTTGGTTGTGCCGGTTCAAAATCCGACAGTGAAGGGGGGTTTCGAACCGACCGTGAATGTCATATCTGGGGTAGTGTATCATCCCTAATATTATACACAAAGAGTTAAACTTACTAAATTAATTAATGCTGACATGAATCTAGATCATTTGTCAAGTTGGAATGTATCGATGGCCTCACTAAAGTAGGCTAGTTATGGTGTATTTATTTTTCACATAATCCACCACGTTGTATTACGGAGTACACAGCGCACATTGAACAATGCAACGGCCTTTTAATAAGAATTAAATTACGGCACGTCCTCTTTGCCACATTTCGGGGATCCTTATTAACATACGACAAAATGCTATGCAAAGTGTTTTTTGACATGCAAACGTTTATGAGCTGAACAATATAGAAGTTGCACGCAGTGAGGTTGCGAATACGTGTGCACGTGCGGGTGAAAACGGTAATTCCCTCGACGTGGGGCCATGTGAGCTGGCTAGATGGCGTCGCCCAGGCATCTCCTTCCTATCTCCTATTTATACGGCACCTCGCTCTCTCCGCTCCTCTGCTCTGTTCTATTCACACGGCACTGCACGCCTCTCTGTCTCTCACTCTCAATCTCTCTCTAGACTCTGCATGTGAGAAACAGAGGATCAGCTCCCACCCAAAGCATGGCAGAGAAGGTGATCTTTCTCTCTCAAACCCTCTCCTTCCAAAATTTGAAGCTAACATGAGTTCTGCCGCATGCAACAATTGTGTGTTGGTGTTTTGATGTATCCTTTGTTTCTTCTTTGCGAATTTGCGTTTTGTTGTACCAGAATTTGCGCTGGTCGCTAACCTGTATATGCTGTTCTTTAGAAATTGGTTGAAAGGAAAAAAAAAAGCATAGTAGTGGAGCAAGAATGTATTCAAAGAGTTTCCACACACATATGTTGATCTGTACGAATAAGTCCATTCTTTATTTCACAATCTAGCTAGTTCCTGTTGAAAGGCGTATCGCATACATACCTGCGTTACACGCTTTTTTATGTGTTTCTCTTTCACTTTGGCGAGAGAATATATATTCGTCGTTTGGCGCACTTGTCAAGAGCTTATATTGTGTTTCTTTTTCTTCGCCAAGAGATTAAATATATTCTTTCGGGGCGCCTGTCAATACCTTATATTATGTTCATAGTTGCTCTCAATTGTAGTAAGTAGTATGACAAAATATAATCCGAGGCTGAATTCATTGGTATGGGAGTTACTTATTTACTATACAAACGACGACAGATAGAAAGAAACAGAAACGGATTTGCTTACAGTAATTACGTGATAAAGATGCGCAGCGTTTGAACAATGCTTTTAATACTTTCGGAATTAATCTTATTCCGCTTTTCGCGTGCCAGCTGCAAGCAGTGATTTTCATCTGATTCCCTTTGCTGTCAAAAATAATAAGAATAATATTTACCCGGCCTGGACTAATGCTGCTGTCAACACAGATCTCCATACTAATCGTCGTGGTTGACCTTGATTGCCACAAGTGCTACCACAAGATCCGCAAGATTCTTTGCAAGCTCCAAGGTAAATAAATAATAAATAAATAAATAAACTACTGCAAACAACCTCGTCAATATGATCCTTCATGTTTACGAGCGATGATGAGCACCATGTCACCATGCACGATCCTTCGATTTCTCTCGTGATCTTGGCAGACCATGAGAGGATCCGGACGATCTCCTTCGACAACAAGAGCAAGACGATCACCATCGTGGGGCCGTTCGACCCGCAGCGGCTCGCCTGCAAGCTCCGCTGCAAGGGCGGCAAGGTGATCAAGGACGTCCACATCGTCGACACCAACGGCGGCGGCGGGAAGCCTCCTCCGGAGAACATGCCAGACGGGCCAACCGCGCCGGCGCCAGCGCCAGTGGGGAAAGGAAAGAAAAAGAAAAAGGAGAAGCAGCCGCCGCCACCGCCCACCGAGCGGCCTCCGCCGCCGGAGCAGGCACCGGGACCTCCGCCCGAGACGATGATGCCGCCTCCGTCATCCCCGGCCCACCACCCGCCTCCGCCTGACGAGGGAATGTCCGCGATGGTGCCCCAGCCGCACTACGTCGAGGAGAAGCCGCCCAGAGCGGAGCTGGAGCCGCCGATGTCGCCCCCACCCAAGGAGATGCCGCCGATGAAGCCGATGGACATGGCCATGCCGGTGCCGCAACACCACCCGCCGCCGCCGTGCCCGGGGCGGCCGCTGGAGCAGCCGGTGGAGGAGTACGTGATCCCGACGGTGGAGATCCCGTCGTGGCCCGCGCCGCCCGTGGGGCCGTGTGGGTGCCCGTGCTGCGCGCCCTGCCACCAGGGCTACTACGGCAGCTGCAGGTGCGGCTGCTGCGGCGGGGTGTACGGGACAACCGTGAGGCCGTTGCCACCGCCGTGCGGTGCGTACAGGGGCTGCCGGACGTTCAGTGACGACGACCCGGCGGCGTGTAGCATCATGTGATCGGATCGTAGCATGCGTGCTCTGAAGTTGATCGGTAGAGCTTGGATGATGTCTGGTAGTTTCAAGTGGGAGTTTTCTGTGATTTTGCCGGAATCAAAATGGATTTGAGTGATTTTTATTATACAGGTTGGGAATTTGAGATGGCAGACGAATACATGGTGAGCTGATTCTGCACGACTTGTAGAAAAATAAATGGTGATTAGGCAGGGTTGCATATTGCTGTTCATTCTCTCGATGACTGTACAGAGCAGAGCACAATGTGTGTTCTTACTGTCCACATCTCAGTGGTCAGAGCCAAATGTTTTTCATATCACAGTACTTTGTGGAGTTTTCAATACAAATGGGGATCTGATTCTTCAATACAATGATGAAAAGGAAAAGGTTAGACCTATATATATATTCTATAGGATTGGAACCGTGTGCTGTCCTGGGAGGCTCAGAGCAGAGGATGTGGCTTCTTGCTGTTTGATGAGTGCCACACCACACAAACCCATTGCTACGCTTTCAACAACTTTTTAGCAGTTTCTCATTAACTTTTTTATTACGCTGATCAAATAGAGTCTGATGACCACACACAGTGCATAGTTGCTTACAGCTTGTCATAAAACGTAATACTAGCATAAAGTATGTCCCTGGCATCTGTTCCCGCTGTGGTTCTGTTCACAATTGTTCTCTACTCCAAGGACTGGCTTATCAGATGGATTTCGCACAAAGATACAGCTGGTTCTGTGTCACTTGAAAATAAACTAGCACAAAGTTAGGCAGAGGAATCATATGATGTTTGTGGTATTGTGAGGCTGAGAGTAGAGGACTGGACAGACAAATGCGTCGATCATATATATAGCTGTTAGATTCCCAAAGCGTCTGGCTGTACCACATATCATTGATATGCTTTTCAAGAACATAACAGCATCTCCTTAACTTCTTTCTCCACCGATCCCAGAGAGTGCAAGGTTAGCTGATTGCCTCCTTTTTTATTAAGAGGTAAGTTGCTTACAGCTTGTAAAAGTAACTAATAGCATGCGTGTTTGCCTCTATGGTGGCCTTGCAAGGCCAAACCATGACCTTGTCAGTTGTGAACACCATGAACATTTCTCATGGGAATATAATGTTGGGTACAAAGTACAAGCAACAGACAAACATTGCAAAAATCAAATGGCTTTTGCAGCAGCTTGTGCTGTGGTTTTGTTGGCAACTGTTCTCTGTTCCTAGAGTCCATGGAGGGCTCGATATCTGCAGCGTGTAAAATAGAACGAACCATGGAAGATGATGGTTCGAATTTCCAGCAACACTTGTGCTGCTCAACCAATAACGCTACAGAAGAAAGTGTGGGACTTGGCAATAGCTTCCACCAGAAGAAGCTTCAGATTCGGCTGCCTTGGTCGCCGCCATTACGGTTATGCAATAAGACTAGAAGACACCGAGCCTAACTCTGCGCTGACGAAACTGAAAACATGTTGCACAAGCATCCACACTTCCCTATGCTTCCCAAGCCTTTGACCACTGCTCTCTGAGACCAAGTTAACAATGCAACTAAAAAATGTGGTGCCATACAAACAACCAGCACAAATTTAGCATGATGAAATGCTGCTGCTGTTGTGGTCTTATTCATTCCGCAAATAGGTCAGGTCTTTCCTATATACCTAGTGTAAAACAGTGAAATCGTCTGTAGAAGGAGATGCTATGCTTGGCACTCCCTTAAATAAAGGGGAAAATTGCACATTTATGTATCCACGTGGCCTGGGGAGCTACCATCGGCGCCACAATGACGTTCTGGCAATGGCCTTTAGGCCCGGAATCTGTGAGAGCGTGAACAGTGTTTTTTAGCTGGTTACAGTGAATTCCGGAGGAATTTTGCACCAGCCGACACTTCTTTCCATACACGCGGCAAACGTTTGGGCCAATAAGGATCATTCTGGGTGTATCCAAATTAAACAGCGTGCAACCTAAAACATTATGGCTAGCTTCACCAGCACTAAGGTCTTGTGGATGAAGCTTTGCATGTCCTATATACACACCAGTTCAAGGAGCCCAAAGCTAAAGTACAAGATAAATGGCTGTCTTCACGCATATTTACTAGCTATATAGAAAGTGAAACTGCCCGAACATGCCAATCTCTTAGAGATTTTCTTTTTTGATTATTCATCCGAGACAATTGTCAAATTTTAAATCACCAATTGACATGTAGTAAGAAAATTCTTCAGTGTCAATATTGCAAAAAAAAAACATTGAATGTGACCAAAGTACATACATAGAACAATTCCATAGTTATCATTCCGCATGATTATGACTACAGAGTTATGTAGTAAGCTGGCTGAAAGCCCGAGGCATGGTGTCCTTTTCCTGTGACGCGCAGAGCTGAGACAAGTGCCCGAATCATACCTCCAGGATTATTCACAAACTTCCAACTGCAGTCAATGAATTCCTTGGTGCTCTGCTCCATCTTGAGAGGAGAAGATGACACTGAAACAGAGGAAGAAACCACAATATCCCATGCATTATACGCTTCTCAAGCAGATCTTTGCAGCTTCTGCTGAACATCGTGGTGGGAAGGAAACAAGCTTTTCACAAGCATCTGTTAATAAGTAGTGGAAATATCCAGATTTGTATACGAGAATACTGTGAGTCTGTGACTGTGACTGGCATATTCCTTTCAGCTTTTCTCCCCTGCTAATTTCAAATCATCCACTCAACAGAGATTCTCTCTTTCGCATAAAAGGAACTGCGATAAGCTGCTGACAGCTTGTAACCATAACTTAATTGCACAAAAGCGGAGGCCGATGTTAACCTTGTAGCTTCCAAAAGCTTAAGAGCTACTAAACAAAATGGCATTCCGAAACACTTCCTGCAGAAGCTTAAGGCTCAGATAGTGTTGCAACTCTGTTTGTGGTAAATAAGTAACCTGCATATAAATTTATCTTTGTAGCTACTGTAGTTGTCGTGCGCTATGTTTACTGGGGTTGTGGTCATCATGGCAAGAGCTGTGGTGCGAGCTAAGTGCCATGGTGTCTAGTGTCTACATACCACTCCACGGTTAGTTTGGCCGTGCGTGTCAATCGTCTCTAAAGTCTATAAGAAGGAACACTCCTATTGATATTTGGTGAACATGATACGTATAACAAGAACCTTCACAACTTCATCTAATCTTCATCCCAGAAGAGGAACACTATCCACCACATTATCATTATGACGTTCAACAAAGGGGTCAATAATGACTTTGAGAACTTGACGAAGCTATCATGCAAACTACCTATATCGATGTGCCACTTGCATTGTCACAAAGTTCAATTTGTCTGTTTTGATGCAGAGGAAGCTGAATTGCTTGTATTTAGAGAGGCTCTCCTTCTGGTTATGCAATGGATACCTCATTTATACAATTTATCAGGCCCTAAATTCAAGATGTGTTAATAGATCCCACCTAGCATTATAAGTAAAGGAAACATGAGCACTCTTGGATGAGCTTCTGGGCGCTGAGTTTATTTACACAAAGACACATCAGAATAGGTTAGTGGTTTTCTAGCAAAGCATGCTTGTAAAGTTTTATCATCAGTGGTTTGGCTGCAACATTGTCCTTACTTTGCTGCAAGTTTAGTGTCAATGGATGTGACCCTTCCTCATTAATAAACTCAGCCTTTCTCGCAACAAAAAAAAAACACAAATTTGTCAGCAGATATGGAATTTAGCAACTAGTTCAGGAACAAATATGAGTGTCTAAATAGTTGTGTTGCATTAGTTACTTTATCCAAGAGAATAGACTAAATTATTTCATTATCTTGAATAGTAAAAACTATGGCCTACTTCTGCTTATTTCATTTTGGATGACATGAACACTAGCCTAATATGTAAAGTTACCTCTGCAAATAATTTATTTATTGTCTCTGCAAATAGTTAATATGAGGATGAAACTGAAAAAAAGCCTCTACATAGTCTCATGTGCAGTCCGTGTGGCCGAAGAATAGGATTCCAAGCCTTTTCGTTTAAAATACAGAGGTGAAGTTGCAGCTAGCCACACATCTGTCTTTACTTTCCAGGCTCAGCTTTACTTCTAGTTACCTTCGTGTTGTGTATGCTCCAGAAAATTTTACCTTTTCAATGCTTTAACAGTGCTGCACACACAAAAGTTTTGCTAAATGACAATTAATTGAAGCTATGGATCATATGCCCAATAATGACACACGTTGCATTAGGTTGATATATTCTGATGCAACCTGTGTCACACATGTAACACCCCAGAAGAAAAACACAACAATCCTCTGGAGAATTGCCACACTACACTACAACAAGAGAGTACGCGGAAGCAAAAATACGTCATCTAGATTAAGGATTAAATTAAGTATTCTATGATGACATAACAATAAACAAAGTTGATCTGCGACTAGCAACTTTGAAAGGAAGCAAAGATACAATTCCAACATCAAATAAAACTCATTACAACATAATTGGTTGTTTGAAGTGTATATCGACACGTGTGCAAATATGTTGCTACTCCCATCCCACCAAGCATCTTCATAAATCATTTATCTATGATGGGGAAACAAGCGTATGAGGTTTATGGAAAACCTCAACAAGCAAACTGCTTCAACCAAGTTATTTAAATCACAGTTCGATTAAGCATCAAATTTAAATCGCATAATAATAGAGACATCAGTTGCTTCATAGAAATATAAATATACTTACAAGTGCAATGCATGACTTCACTTCTACCCACACGTCCCAAGGATAGGGAGTGAGGGCTGCAACCACAATGCTCATCAATGTGCGTTGTTGTACAGTACTGCACTTACCACCAATTCGGCTATGGTTTCTTCAAAGGCATATCAATGGGAAGATCTGCAAATGCAAATGTTGCAGTGTATGCACTTCACATACTTCATATATACTTCATAATTCATAATTTAGAGAGTAATACCACAAGCTATGAAAAATAGCATACTTTAAAGTAAACAAATAAATTCAATTTTAGATTACCTGGCTAGTGTGAAAAACTGAAATTTAGTGGA